GTATTCTGAGTAGACAGGTTAAAATGTAATTGTTAAACTTTACAGTATTCTGAGTAGACAGGTTAAAATGTAATTGTTAAACTTTACAGTATTCTGAGTAGACAGGTTAAAATGTAATTGTTAAACTTTACAGTATTCTGAGTAGACAGGTTAAAATGTAATTGTTAAACTTTACAGTTTTCTGAGTAGACAGGTTAAAATGTAATTGTTAAACTTTACAGTATTCTGAGTAGACAGATTAAAATGTTATTGTTAAACTTTACAGTATTCTGAGTAGACAGGTTAAAATGGAATTGTTAAACTTTACAGTATTCTGAGTAGACAGATTAAAATGTAATTGGATAGATGTCATTGTTTTGCAGATGTCGCATAAAAATAAGATGTACCCTCTCATTGTTTGCATATTAAATTGTTAGATAAAGAATTGAATAAAAATAACCTCTAGCTGTTGTCAATATTTTGTTGAAATTGATACAATGGATTTGATGTAACATATAAGGCGAGTGTGGTCACCAGGGATACCTAGTTAGATCTGATACTGGCCAATCAGCATCAGCGCACCTTGGCTGTAGGCAGGCTACAGATGGTGCAAACCTATCACTGTAGGGGATCCTGGGGCAAAGCTGTTCATGATGTGGAGCAGACATCACAGATTTTCAGTATTCCTATCTATAGTCCAGAGTGTACCTAGCTAAAGTCCAGAGTGTACCTAGCTATAGTCCAGAGTGTACCTAGCTATAGTTCAGAGTATACCTAGCTATTGTTCAGAGTGTACCTAGCTATAGTTCAGAGTGTACCTAGCTATAGTCCAGAGTGTTCCTAGCTATAGTCCAGAGTGTACCTAGCTATAGTTCAGAGTGTACCTAGCTATAGGCCAGAGTGTACCTAGCTATAGTCCAGAGTGTGCCTAGCTATAGTTCAGAGTGTACCTAGCTATAGTTCAGAGTGTACCTAGCTATAGTCCAGAGTGTACCTAGCTATAGTCCATTGTGTACCTAGCTATAGTCCAGTGTTCCTAGCTATAGTTCAGAGTGTACCTAACTATAGTCCAGTGTGTACCTAGCTATAGTCCAGAGTGTTCCTAGCTATAGTCCAGAGTGTACCTAGCTATAGTCAAGAATGTTCCTAGCTAAAGGCAAGAGTATTCTTAGAGAGAAATAAACAAGATTTTATTACATATAATTACATGTATAATAATTTTAGTGAAATTATTGTATTGAGCACGTATAATAAAAGTAAGGTTAACAGGAAGGAGTTTGAAATTGGTTACATCAGTCAGTGTTATTAATAATAATCGAGGAAAGCCTATAATCTCTATTTCTTTTTATATATACCATCTTGAAAATAAGACTTCTGGAGTTGTAAAATTGTTCATGATCAAAGGAGGGGGAAATTCAGCTGAGTTGCAATACGTTTTAACCGTAAAAAAACACGTAAAAATCATCACGATCCTCATATATATCGAATAGACTGTCTCGTAACAGAAAATATGATCTTTTAAAACTGATATATATTGAGATGTCATCAGCTCTGAACCCATTGATCAGTTGAGGTTTCTACTTTTTCTGATTATTACAAATCCATATTTCATGGTATACAAATGTATAAGGATGTTTTATTGACACAGCAGTAGCTGCTCCGCAGGAAAACGTTTACTTACGTATCCCTATTGGTTGTGAATCATTCGTATAACTTAGTGCCCAAGTGTCACATGTTACAGGTATAAAACTTGTGTCACCAATATCGTGACGAGTTTGTGGTGATCAATTATACCCATCAGCAAGTACCTGTAAATGTTGAAGTTAAAAAAGTTGCAGCAGAGCTTGAGAACTATGTACCCATACGAGGAATGATGGTGGACATAGCTTGTATACTACCTGAAAGTCTGTAGGTAATATCATAGTACTGATGTGTCATTTGATATATTGGAACTCTGTGTAATTGGTGGCCACAGATGGTTGTGTGAGCTGGGGGTATATATGTTCTATTTAACTTTGATGAACTACTAGAAATCCTGTTTTATAATTCTCCAGAACTAGGAGTATAACTATAGATAACTTGACACTCTTCTCTTACTTCAGGATTAGGATATTTTCTGTATTTTGTAAACTTGGAATAAGGCATATTGACAACACTCAGTATTTAACAAGTCAGCATTTCTTTCTGATCAGAAATATCAGAAACGTATCTGACATACTCCCTACTGAATGTTAACCCTGATATAAACGTATCTGACATACTTCCTACTGAATGTTAACCCTGATATAAATGTATTACAACTTTGTTAAATTCTGGCTGAAATATGGGGTTAACATACTTAGATAAGGAATGATATAAGTTTAAAGACAGAATTGCATTTATTCGCAGGCCATTCCTTAATATATAACAACCATGTTGCCTTATTGGGCAACAGTGTGATAGATATGGCACATTTGTTTACATGCTACTATTGCACAGTTTCACATCGTGTTCTATAAAGAACCATTTAAAAAGCATTTTCGTATTTTAGAACATTTTAACCCTTTCACCCCTATGTAACTTTAGTAGACTCTACCATGCATTGATATGGACGAGTCCATTGTGGTCTACAGTGGTGAAAGGGTTAACAGTATCCTATCTGATGTAAAGGAAATGACATCTGCAGTTATTTAAAGTTCTATGTATGACAGACATACAAATTCAACATCATCAGGAGAGCGTTGGAACAGCCTCATTATATGTACAGGCACATGTATGTACTGGAATTTCTATGGGTGTTCTGATTGTTATGGTTCACTGGTCTATGGGTGTTCTCATTGTTATGGTTCACTGTTCTATGGGTGTTCTGTTTGTTATGGTTCACTGTTCTATGGGGGTTCTCATTGTTATGGTTCACTGTTATATGGGTGTTCTCATTGTTATTGTTCACTGTTCTATGGGTGTTCTGTTTGTTATGGTTCACTGTTCTATGGGTTTTCTCATTGTTATGGTTCACTATTCTATGGGTGTTCTCATTGTTAGGGTTCTCTGTTCTATGGGTGTTCTGATTGTTATGGATCACTGGTCTATGGGTGTTCTGATTGTTATTGTTCACTTGTCTATGGGTGTTCTCATTTTTATGGTTCACTGTTCTATGGGTGTTTTCATTGTTAGGGTTCACTGGTCTATGGGCGTTCTCATTGTTAGGGTTCACTGTTCTATGGGTGTTTTCATTGTTAGGGTTCACTGGTCTATGGGTGTTCTCATTGTTATGGTTCACTGTTCTATGGGTGTTCTCATTGTTATGGTTCACTGTTCTATGTGTGTTCTCATTGTTAGGGTTCACTGTTCTATGGGTGTTCTCATTGTTATGGTTCACTGTTCTATGGGTGTTCTGTTTGTTATGGTTCACTGTTCTATGGGTGTTCTCATTGTTAGGGTTCACTGTTCTATGGGTGTTCTCATTGTTAGGGTTCACTGGTCTATGGGTGTTCTCATTGTTATGGTTCACTGGTCTATGGGTGTTCTCATTGTTATGGTTCACTGTTCTATGGGTGTTCTCATTGTTATGGTTCACTGTTTCCAACAGCTCGTTTATAGTGCCATAGCGTTTGAGTACTTAGACTACATTTTACTCCACTGTAGGAAGGTCAAAGACTCGTTTTACTCCACTGTAAGTGGGTCAAAGACTACATTTTACTCCACTGTAGGAAGGTCAAAGACTCGCTTTACTCCACTGTAGGAAGGACAAAGACTCGCTTTACTCCACTGTAGGTGGGTCAAAGACTACATTTTACTCCACTGTAGGAAGGTCAAAGACTACATTTTTCTCCACTGTAGGAAGGTCAAAGACTCGCTTTACTCCACTGTAGGAAGGTCAAAGACTCGTTTTACTCCACTGTAAGTGGGTCAAAGACTCCATTTTACTCCACTGTAGGAAGGTCAAAGACTCGTTTTACACCACTGTAGGTGGGTCAAAGACTAGCTTTACTCCACTGTAGGAAGGTCAAAGACTACATTTTCCTCCACTGTAGGAAGGTCAAAGACTCGCTTTACTCCACTGTAGGAAGGTCAAAGACTCGTTTTACTCCACTGTAAGTGGGTCAAAGACTACATTTTACTCCACTGTAGGAAGGACAAAGACTCGCTTTACTCCACTGTAGGTGGGTCAAAGACTACATTTTACTCCACTGTAGGAAGGACAAAGACTCGCTTTACTCTACTGTAGGTGGGTCAAAGACTACATTTTACTCCACTGTAGGAAGGACAAAGACTCGCTTTACTCTACTGTAGGTGGGTCAAAGACTACATTTTACTCCACTGTAGGAAGGACAAAGACTCGCTTTACTCCACTGTAGGTGGGACAAAGACTACATTTTACTCCACTGTAGGAAGGTCAAAGATTCGCTTTACTCCACTGTAGGAAGGACAAAGACTACATTTTACTCCACTGTAGGAAGGTCAAAGATTCGCTTTACTCCACTGTAGGAAGGACAAAGACTCGCTTTACTCTACTGTAGGTGGGTCAAAGACTACATTTTACTCCGCTGTAGGAAGGTCAAAGACTACATTTTACTCCACTGTAGTAAGGTCAAAGACTTGCTTTACTCCACTGTAGGAAGGTCAAAGACTACATTTTCCTCCACTGTAGGAAGGTCAAAGACTCGCTTTACTCCACTGTAGGAAGGTCAAAGACTCGTTTTACACCACTGTAGGTGGGTCAAAGACTCGCTTTACTCCACTGTAGGAAGGTCAAAGACTACATTTTACTCCACTGTAGGAAGGTCAAAGACTACATTTTACTCCACTGTAGGAAGGTCAAAGACTCGCTTTACTCCACTGTAGGTGGGTCAAAGACTACATTTTACTCCACTGTAGGAAGATAAAATTAAACAGTAACAGTTAAATGTCTTGCACGAGGACTAAGGCCCATCCTGCCATACACAGGACCAAACTCTGCGGTCATTAGACTGTTGCAGTACTAACTCTGCTATATGCAGCCCTCATATGTTGGGAATACTTTTATAATATTTTGTTTACAGTTGCCATTAGACGAGCTGGATCAGGAAGAAGGCATGGAGAGGCAGGGCTCCTCTGGTGATGACCAATCATCAGCCCCCACTCGCAGCACTCCCCGTGACCTTGACAGTGAGAGGTCAATTGACAGATCCGAAACCATGGAGACGCTTGTGCCTCCTGCACAGATCAGCCCCACCTCAGAGATGGTGAGTTCATCTCGTGTGTTTTTGTTTGAACTTGTTTTACAGTTTTGTTTGATGTAAATTTCAGTGAATTCTCTTTAAGCATGTACATTTACCTTGAAAATACCACTGCTAAAACCCTAAATAACCTCTAGAAACCTCAATGACTTATCAAGCTTTTGGAGTTTGAAAAAATATATAGGTTTGGCTTCATACACCAGGTCATCAACAACTGATGACATAGTCCCAATGTCAGTCCCAATCATGACATGTATCAAATTACTGAGGACTTAAAAACAGTTTTAACCAAAGCTAATTATTGCCATAGGATATTGTACACTGCTAATGATAAAATGTTGCTTTCAGCTGAGTGATCGTGACCATGACAGCCTCAAGTCAGAGGAATTAATGATGCGGTTTGACAGTGAATCGGAGGACAATGGGATGGAGGAGCGACCAGGTGCCAGATTGGGTCATGTCCCTGTAGACAATGGTGACTTCAGTTCTGAGGAGGAAACGATTAACTCCCCTGGTCGGCCCACAGCCCCACTAGAGGAGGAGCTTATTATTCCCCACCTGGCTCCAGCTCAGAGTATGTTACCTGGACAGACCACACCTCCAGGGGACGAGTCAAAGGAGGAGCAGATCGAGGAGAAAGAACAAGATGAAAGTGAGGCTGATCGTAGCGCCAGTCCTACTGATATTTTGTTACAGACCCAGTCATTGGCTGGTTTTACATTGCCTGCGTCAATTGTTGAATCTTCAACTGGTTCAAACTCGGTTGATTTCCAAGAGACATTGTTGATGGAAGTGAAGGAAAAGGATGAGAAAATCAAACAGGTTAGATACTAAAAGTTTCAGAATTAAGAAACAATTAAGCTATATAAATTGTCTATTGATGGATGCATGTTGCATATCCTTAAAATATCAGCCTCTCCGGTACACTGATAACACTCTCCCTCATTATGTAGTCTCTCGGTTCAGGTTACATGTCTTCATTGAAAATATATATCAGTAAATAAGAAAAAAACACGATTGATAATTTGATTAAGTAGTGAATTATGTGATGGCTAGACAAATATGGCCTTCATTTTGCCCAGTCTCATTTTCACCTTAATGTTACCATTAAGACACTGTGTGGTTTTCGTGCTGAGAACAGCATCAGTCTGACAGTAGAACAATAATAAGACTATTTTGTTGTTGTTTTAGCTGGAGGCAGAGATCCAGACTTTGAATGGACAGCTGAAAAAACAGACGGAGGAAGAGAATCTGATTTTACTGCGAAGAGAAAGAGAGGCTCAAGAAGACCAGAATCTAGAAGAACTTCTACGACAGGATGTATCCCGAGTGAATAAGGAGAGGTGAGCAGATGTTTTTTCTGGGAGAGAGAATAGAGCTGATGATTAAAGTTGTTGGCATAAACATTGTTAACTAGAGGTGGGGATACAGATTGATAAGTGACAGGTTAGGGGGAGGGAGGTTAAAGAAAGTATACAACATTGGGAACTAGAGGTGGGGATACAGATTGATAAGTGACAGGTTAGGGGGAGGGAGGTTAAAGAAAGTATACAACATTGGAAACTAGAGGTGGGGATACAGATTGATAAGTGACAGGTTATGGGGAGGGAGGTTAAAGAAAGTATACAACATTGGGAACTAGAGGTGGGGATACAGATTGATAAGTGACAGGTTGGGGGGAGGGGGAGGGGGAGGTTAAAGAAAGTATACAACATTGGGAACTAGAGGAGGGGATACAGATTGATAAGTGACAGGTTAGGGGGAGGGAGGGTAAAGAAAGGATACAACATTGGGAACTAGAGGTGGGGATACAGATTGATAAGTGACACGTTAGGGGGAGGGAGGTTAAAGAAAGAATACAACATTGGGAACTAGAGGTGGGGATACAGATTGATAAGTGACAGGTTAGGGGGAGGGGGAGGGGGAGGTTAAAGAAAGTATACAACATTGGGAACTAGAGGTGGGGATACAGATAGATAAGTGACAGGTAAGGGGGAGGGAGGTTAAAGAAAGCATACTACATTGGGAACTAGAGGTGGGAATATAGATTGATAAGTGACGGGTTACGGAGGTTAAAGAGTCACAGTTGCTGTCAGGGGTCCGGCACAGAGTGGATTTAACAAACAGATGCTGGGTGTTAGGGGTTGGTGGAGGGTAGATTTAGGGAACAGTAGCTGAATGTTAGGGGTTGGGGGAGGGTAGATTTAGGTAACAGATGCTGGGTGTGAGGGGTTGGGGCAGGGTAGATTTAGGTAACAGCAGCCGGGTGTTAGGGGTTGGGGCAGGGTAGATTTAGGTAACAGATGCTGGGTGTGAGGGGTTTGGGGAAGGTAGATTTAGGTAACAGATGCTGGGTATTAGGGGTTGGGGGAGGATAGATTTAGGTAACAGTAGCTGGGTGTTAGGGGTTGGAATAATATTAGATTTAGGGAATAACAGTTGGGTCTTAGAAGTTGAGGGAGGGTAGCTGTTGAAAATAGTTGGTGTTAGCCTGTTACCTCTGAGTTCAGTTATAATAACTGTGTAAATATTAGAAATTAAAATTTCGTTTTAATGTTTCATTAAACTGTAGCAAAGCTAGACACATTTGAGAACAAGATGGCAAGTCTTAAAACTTTAACAAGAACTGCTAATGTTTGTAGGGATAATATACAGCAGACCAACGAACACCTGCTCCAACTTCTCTCCGAAACGGTCAAGACGTTCATGAGCGTCGAGGAATCCATAGGAAAGAAGCTGTCCAAGATTGTCGTGGACACTGGTGACCAATCTGGCCATTCTGGGGTCAAGTCTCCTCGGTCAGCCGGACACAGTCCAGGGGGCCCTGTTGGAGCTGAGGGTAAGCCATTTGATGTCAGTCTAAGGGCACTGTGTTTGATTGGACAGGAGGAATCATGTTTCCACTTTGAAAGATTTTGTTTTCTAACAGAAGAGAGATGAATTTTGTGTGAATGTTTGCTTTTGAACTGACAAACAATTATTAAGAAATGTCCGTAATATTTTAGGAGGAGAATTCCACGACTGCGGTGATGTTCCACAGGAAACCTCAATCTTATCTAATGACGAGGGACTAGACCTGTCACAGCGACTGTGTGAGAGTATTTTCCTCGACTCAGAAGGAGAAGAACTCCTCACAGGTAGGNGGGGGCGGGGGCATTTCATTTCTTCATAGGAGGGTAAAAAAAGTAATCATTCATATAAATACACATTCAACTGTAAAGAATAAAAGTTTATGAAAACAATAGAGCTATATTTCATATGCTACAATTGTTTTCCTCAATAAAAAGAAGTATTACTGTACGCTGTTGAAAGTTAAAAAAAGAAAAGGAAATCTCTCAGAATTATTGTCAACTTTGATCGTATAGTGGTCATTGTATTGTAAAATGTGGACCACGATTGCTTTGTTTTGTTAAAATTTCTATCAGTTTCTTAAAAAATCATTGTAAATTTACCATGACACATGGAACTGGTGTTTATGAATTTATATGCTCGTTTATACATCATGTATTTGTAACATTATTGTAATCAAACGTCGAACAACGGAAGGGTTGTTCTTGATTTTAGAAAAATTGAACTTAGATTGATGATGGAACCGATTTATCAGATATAACCTTTCAGAAGGTAGATATTTGTATGCTCCTTAAAATAAAAATACTGCTTTAAAAAATAAGCTTTTAATAGATATAGAATGTGCTTCAGTGAAAATTTGATACAATGTAATAACATTAAAAGTCAATACTATCATAGACTAATGCATTTTGCTTTCTAAATGATGTAGATTACCTCTGGGTGAAAAATTTCGTCATAGGTTGGTGACTTTCTGGTAGTGACATCACATTTCGTACCTTTCATCACACCGTTCTTTGATTTTTGAAAAACAAAGTTTAAAAAAAAAAAAAAAACTGTTTCCCCCATCACATATTTCATTTCCAAGTTTCTGTCATGTTTGTCTGTCCCGGCACATTCACAAGCTGGAGTGTAGGCTTGGTTGGAACATGCCTCTAATTTTGTTTTCTGTATCGTTGTTTACTTCTGTTACATGGGAGAGGACCAGTCCCTCCAAATGTGTGCATGCCTGTATCGTCATGTCGTTTGCAGTGATCACATTATATTCATTGTCTCACTGTGTAAAACAGATATTGTTGTTATGCACATTTCAATTCAATTTAAAGACAATATTTTAAGAGAAAATCTTAATTTTAATGCTTTTAAATGAAAACAAAATGTACTTGGAAAAACTTTTAAATAGATGGAAAAAATTATGTTTGCGAATATGACATAGTCACATTTCTCAGCAAAAATTGTGTCCAACTTTTGAAATAGATATTTAATTTTATTACAAACATTCATTTTAGAGTAAAAAAAAATTATAACACTGCATATGGATGTTAAATATTATCCTCTCATGGCCTCTGTACTGACTTGGGGAACTGTAATATAACATTGCCCCTTGAGTGGCCCCCTCACTGACTGAGGGAACTGTAATATAACATTTCCCCTTGAGTGACCCCCATCAGACTGTGCAGGATGCTAATTTCAGCAGTTGAAGTTTCCATTTCCTAAATGTCACCCATATTTATGATTCATTCATGGAGTCACCAGTTTCAAATTTGTGTTATGAACAAAGCCTGGATTTTATTGGCAGCCTGGGAAAGCCAGCAGTTTATTCCAACTACATAAGTATATGTCTTATATATATAGTACTGTCATTTGGTGATATTCTAAAGCTGGACCTGTTCAGATCTAGAATTGTCACCCTCCACACTGCCTGTCACAAACACGTCTGTATAGGTAGCTAATTAAGCATCTAAGACAACAAGTTTATAAAGTTTTCTATAAGTCATGTGTAAATTACAGTATTGATAACATCAGGGTCCTAGAGATGCAATATCTTTACAGGACATATTTTGAATAAAATAGCTGACTATACATATTTCTTATTTGTTAAAAGTTATGAGTTAGAGATGAAATGAAACATGTTTTGAATGGTGGAACATTAATGTTGTCAAGAATTCTTATTTGTGAATAATTAGTGTTGAATTTTAGGTGTTGTCATCTGACTAAAGGAATAACAGAGTGTTTATATACATGTAAATGTTATTTCCTGTGTAAATATATATATATAACTTCCTTTCCTGTATGTGTCATATAAATGTTTTAAAACAGACAAATTTACCAACTGGGACCCAGAATATTAATGTAATAATTAAACAAATTTCAAACAGTCAACTACAGATTTAACCAAAAGCTCAGAGTAAATATAAGTTAATCAGATAAAACTGAAAGACGATTTAGCTGTGCTTTAACACGACAAGACGATGTTTGGTATATATATATATATGTATGCCCATATCACTGTACGTGTGTCAGACAGCTGTGCTCCTTAAATGTACACACTTACAAGTGGCTGAGTGTAGGTCTAGCCACTACTGTCTGCAGATTGAATTTCATCCCAATTTTGTTTTCAACGAGTAGGGCTTATTCTGAAAATAGAAAGTCCAGAGAATTATTAAATAAAACTTTTACACTTTATTGATATTTTGCATTGAACTCATCATGAGCCAAGTTAAGCTTATTTCACAGTTCACTGTATTATGTCACAGTTTGATATTGTTACAGTTTGTTTGTGTTAAATTTAGGAAATAGTGAAAATGAAAGGGTCAAGTAAACAAGCTTTTATACTGAACTTGTAATGTGTCGTGTCCCCCTCATTATAATATTGTCATGTTTTCTCTGTGACAGATGCCAGTCAGAGACTACAGGGGTCGGTGACACGCCTCCTCGACATGATCGAAGACACCACCCACCAGCTGACAGATGCACGCCGGACCCAGCATGACCTTGTCTCCACCCTGTCATCGGGCCAGCAGGAATCGCAATCCCTGGAGTCCCGATGTCAGGAGATGGAGGACCGACTTAGGGAGCAGGTGGAGGCAAAGGAGTTTCTTGCCCTTGAACTACACAAAGCTGAAGGTTTATTTTTATCTTTAGTTCGTGTATGGTAGAGATTTCTAGTTATTGTAAAGATCCTATTTTGTAAGAAGTTTTTGATATTACCAAAATGTCACTGCTTGAATGAAACAATGGTTGATTTAGATCACATTACCCATACTTTTTACTGTAAGCAAATAACAGGTAATCTGAAAATTGATTTGAAGCCGTTTGTATTTAAATATTGTGAATAGTTAAGTTTATGTGTGAATTTGTGAAAGTTTTGTGAATAACCCTCATTTTAACGTTTATGTACGGAAAGTGTCGGTAAGAAAATGAAAAAAAAATGAAAATTAATGATAAAAACCGTTTGTGTACTTTCAGGGTTAATTGAAGGCTACAGTGCTGAGCGTGAGATGCTGGAACTGAGGATACAAGACTTGGAGGAACAGAAAGAGGCGCTTGTCCTTGACCTTGAGACCACACGCAACAAACTTGGGGATTTAGAGACGGTTCATCATGAGGCAACATCACTGCGGGCAGAAATCCAACGACAGCATGATCTAGTCGAGGAGAACGCTGGCGAGGAGGCACAAGGTTTACGTCGTTTACGCTACCTTTTACTTCCAATAGGGGTTGTTGTCACCAGCTTCCTACTGCGTGATTATTTATAGTGTCATGTATTGTTTCATGTGATTATATATAATGCTGTGATTACATAATCTATTTATAGCATCAGATTGATTTGAATCATTATTATATATATATATATCTAATTTTGATAGAATTTTATTTTGTGATGTTTTTTGTTCATAACAACTGATACATATTAATTACTTAGCATCTAATTATAGTCGTGTTTGAGTGATGAAATTTGACAGACTTTTGTGCTGTTTGTATGATATATATATATGAATGCAGTAGTCCCGCTTGATTGATTTTGAGTGCCAGAATGCATTCATAGCATGGAATTTGGAATTTTGATTACAGCGGAGTATGTCTTTAGGACTGAACATTTCCGGGGTTGAAATCAGGTTTTACAGAAATTGATCAGCATAATGTACTTTTTGTGTCGTATTCATCAGTAGGTTCAAACATAATGGTAATATGAAGTTATATTTAAATTCAAATTTCTTTATATTGTATTGTCCCGATTGCTATTTTTCATGCTTATTTCTGAAATAACTATAACCTGTTTAAACCTGGGTTAAGCCTAGAAATGTAAACTCCTAGAGACAGAGCTCCAGTTCCTTATAACATTCAAGGCCTGTTATTTATTTGTTAATTTTGAACTTTGACCCACTGCCTTATACGATTTATGATGCATCCATTTTGATGGTATCAGATTTATTTTAAAAATGTTTTCCTTGAAAATTTATATTTATACAAAATGTATGGTTGTTATAGATATATAGGGTATTGACCTTACATTTCCTATGGCTATCTATAGCTGTGATTATGGATATGGTCATCCACTTAATGTTGATTATATAGTCATGACCTTTGACCTTTATGAAGCACAGGCCTTTTCCTGTCCAGGGTTGCCTGACTAAATTTATCATTAGGTATAAACAACTATTGTTAATTTGTTATATAGTTTGATACTTTGTCTGGGGACAATTTATCATTAGGTATAAACAACTATTGTTAATTTGTTATATAGTTTGATTCTTTGTCTGGGGACAATTTTTATCCTTAAAGTACGAAAAATAATTAATGTGTTGATCTAAATTCGTAAGAATATTCTTATGGTGAAAATCACTTGTATATAAAAATGCTACAATAAATATGTAGGGATTTGGAAACAACTCCAGGACTGAAGAAATAAGACCTATAATTGACATACATAGCAAGAAAAACACAGTTTACTATATTTGAAATGTAATTGGATGATGGAATGATTAATTAAGGGAATTATAATTGGTTTACTTGGAAATAAATAAAATTGGCATGATAATTTACAGATATAGCCTTCAGTCTTCTATGTCTCCTGGTATCATTATAAATAATGTGTAAAGCTAAGGTGCTGAAACCAAGTGTCTGGTACAAGGCTGAAATCTATAAAATCCAGATTAAGGGTATATGCTGCCTTACTGTAACATGTAGACGGTATCTTCAATCCAAAAAGAGTTCCACTTTAAGGAACATGGTGAAATATCTGTTAAATGACTGATAATAGACGCATGGGTTTGATAAAGAGTTACAACATAATTAATACTGAGATAAAACTGGGATAGAATTTCAGATATTCTGAAGTACATACTTACCAACTTTTTAAAATTTCCATCGGGAAGATTCTGCATGCTCAAAATTTAAACATAAATAAAATTGCTGTATACATCCCCTAGAGACAGAATAACCCTTTAAAATGACATATTTTGAATTCTTTCAGATGTAATCATTAGATCTTAGAATATAGGAACAGTTAAGCAAATTCACTTGTTGAAAACACTCAATTTAAGGGTCCAACAACGGGAGTCTCCCTCCTAAATAGGGAGGGTTGGCAAGTATGGAAGAATTTGGGGTTTATGTAAGGAAGGTAACTCTTGTACACATGTGTTATGTGTAAGGTAGCATATACCCTTAAGGATGGGAGCAGAATACTTCCACAGAAGATTACGCAGACTTAGTATAGAGGAGATACCAATACTCAAGGTAAATGATGCATGTTAAAGTCTTCAATCTCGCTTAGATCTTAAAACAGGGACAATAATGGTGTATTTCTTTTTCAAAAGTCATCATTTGGTGAACAATTTAATTGATGCTTATGACTTTTGAATAATTTTACTTTTAAATAAAATTGTATGTCCTTTAAATTTCAAGTGTGTTAATAAATCAGAGAAAAAAAATCTTATATATTTCTGAATTTTTGATATTAAGGGCACTTATTGAAAAATTTGGATTAAAATGTTCAGCTATGTAAGGAAAACTAATTTTATCAGAGATCAGTTTCAATTTTTGAGAATAATGATAGATTTGAGTATAGCAGGGATAATAGATGATAAAGAAAGTAAAGGTCTGAGTTACAGGTTAACGTACTAGGCAGTGATCATTGTGGACAGGAAAAGGCCTCGTGTACTCCTCAGGTAAGGAGTGCTCTCCCCTTCTTGTCTATATTTAGGCAAGGGTTTCTTGGCTGTAGGCACCGCGGGTTGTGGAGGTAACTTTATACGCAAATTCAGATGTTAGAGGGCTTTTGCTTCAAATTGTTACCATCAGTTTTCCTGATTTTTTTGCCGTTCGAGTAAAGTCTTGATACAATTTATTTCCCTTGTTTTTCTTAAATTAAAAAAATATTTTATCTCCAAATTTGTTTGTGAAAGCAGTTACATTCCTCAGAAATTTCTTTGTGAATCAAATTTCAGAGTTGTAGTCAAAGTGAAAAGTAAATTTATGTAAAAATTAGTAACATAGTTTTATGCATATGATGCAGAGTTCATGTAAAACAAAAATGCTATTCTATGGTTTTGAAAAACTTTGCTGCATTTTTTCAGTCATTTGAACTGAATTGAAGCTTTAGCCCTTTAATGTTTACTTCAAGCCTGTAGCCCCTAACCAAACACAATAGATTGTCCTTTCTGGTTGACCAGTCTATTGTTGTTGGGGGGGTTGCAGGGTTCAAGGTGCTTCATTGACACAGTGGGTGACCCTGGTTTTCCTTACTCCAGCTTTTGTTTCAAATGCAGAACTGACCCAAAATACCTATATCAAATTATATTTGTGGAAATCTGGTGCATGGTTTCTTCATTCAAGGGCAGCTTAATGCATATCCTGTCTCCCCTTAATAGTAATCCACTTTCCAGGATAAGTCCTGCTGGAAAATGTAGGGTATTCATTTTAGGGACGAGAGGATCTGCTCTAACTTTGTTACATAACATTGAACCCTGTCGTATATATCTGACATGGTTTCATTGGAATTTGAGACTTCTTATCTATGAACTATTCCTGAATTTATTTCATGTTAAAACAAATTATTTCACAAAAATGTTCCTCAGTCACTTATTCTGAAAATGTGTATCTAAGATCCAAGTTTGATGAAAAATTGATGTTTTGTTTGTTGTCTGGATTACTCTGAGACAGGGTTCATTGCTATGGTTACATTCATATTAAAATACAAAAATGTCTTTATTTTCCTGGCTTTCATACAACACTGCTTAAGTGTGATTCACATGTAGATTTCTGAGTTTGGTGAAGTCTTTTGAATGACTTAATATGTTTAATTCATTATGTTCATCTTGAAGAATATTTAGGAAATATCTAGTAAAATAATAATTTTAAGACAAAGTATGTACCAGGAAAAATACAGACACTTGCACTTGAGGATTTTTATCATGTATGGGAAATTGTATATTCACTTCAAATACCAGATTTTTACTCAAGTTTTTGTATGTCAAATTTTGTAGAAAGGACACTGATTTCAATTCAATGATATAATCAATGGAAAACTTTGTGTAAACCTTATGTGACATTTCCCATACACCGATAGTAATCTTCATATCATAACATCTTTTATTTCAGTTCAGCTTCCTGTGTTTTAAATATTCTCCAGTAAATGGTGACCTCATTCAAGGACAAAGATCTTAGGTCAAAGTGCCAAGATCACAACAAATGTCACCAGAATAATTTCCTAAATCAGGAACATATACTGTACTTGTCTTTGGCTGGTCCATTGATAAAGGAACTTTCTGAATACTTGATCATGGTCTCATGTGAAATTTATGGCATTTATTGATATGATTTTATACAAGAAAATTATTTTTAGAGTGATTTAGTAGAATTGTATACTGACTCCATGTGTTGAAATGTATTCACCTCATATCAATTTACAATATTCAGTATAACTTAACAATATCAACCCGGCATGGTCCTTAATTACCAGTAACAATGTTATATTACAATGCATGTAATGCCTGCAAAAAAAGACAAGATTTTTACATTTAACTTTTTTTAAGACATCAAGATCATCAGAATTTATTTTTCAAGCTATTTCACTTGTTTTATTTTCATCAAAACCTAATTGCACTGAATATTTGCTAGATTTCAAATGATTAAAAAGATCACATTATGTATGCTTCCTTACTGTGTCATTATCTTCTCAAAATAGTTCTGTGTAAGCAATCTGTAGAATAGGTCAGAAGGGAGGTAACTCTCACACAGGTCAAAGTTTTAATGCATAAGTGTCCATGTATCCTTAACTGAAATTTAGAAGATTTGTGTGAATTCATAATGTACATGTCATAACATAATTATTATTGTACTAATTTTTTCAAAATCCACCAGACAATTTGTAGAAGTCTATTTATATCTACTTATTGTTAATTTACAGTTTAAACCAACCTCAGTCTTGGGCAGTTGGTAGTTAGTTGTAGCACAATTAAATGACAATCTAGCTAAAAAAAACAATTAAAAAAAATATTATTTATTTCATTCACTTTTAACTCAAACTTAACAACAAAATAGTGATTAATATGACTTAAAATACAACCCAGGATAAAGGGTCCTGAATCGTGTATATTTAACACACACATACTCGCTGCTCGGCTTGCAGTGCTTGCATGGAAATTAATCTGAATTCATATTTGAAATACATATTCATAAGAATTATTAAAAAAAAAACACACATACACAAAAGTAGAGATTTTAAACTTTTTTTTTACACGTAGAAGGTCTTAGGTAAAGTATTGATAATAAGATAGAATTGATAATAAGAATAGATCATTCAAAAGGATTCTAGGATTTTTCCATGAGATTATAGAGGGAGATTCCATTTTCATGTCATTGTAGGGGTGCATGGATGTTTAGCTAACATCAGTTTGTGTATTCTCCCCTCCCCCAACCATTTACCCTGCATGTAACCTTCCCATATCGCTGAGGTGATGGATGTCAATTTTCCTGGGAAAGAAATTGAAGATTTTCTGAAATTATTAAATTCTATTAACATTTCAAAAATTTCTTTTGAAACTAAACAAAAGTTTTTTGACAAAAGTCTAATATGAATGTTTTCAGGAAAATTGATTTTTGCTTTAGTGTTTATTCACTTTTGTCATATATGTTGCATGAAATAAGAAAACTTTATGGTGAACTTATCTAAAAATGCTGGGGATTTTCAAGAGAACGTATTTTAGATTGATAAGTTTGATGCAAAAATGATTTCCATATAACAAATGTTATGGTGCAGATTGTGTTGGTCCCGTGACTGTTGTACTGACATTCCACAAGTAAAACCTGAGTTAGTAGGGCAGACGGTGAAGCCTCTGTATAGAATATTGTCAGTCACATTAAGGCATCAAATACATTGCCAGCATATTGACAGATTTCACCATAAAGCTTTCAACATCAGAATTTCTCAATGCATCCTGGGAAATTTTATCTGCTTGCTTTAATTAATCGGAATATTTGAGATTTGACTTGCCCCATTTGAGATTTTTTTGAGTTTTGTGGCACTTGTCTACCTAAGATAACTAAAACAGGGAATGGTTAATAATAAATATTTGAAATATAATTTAGCCAAGTATAATGCTTTCAATTCAGTTTCTACCCTGCTATTTTAATTTTAAAAGGTTACCATACAGAGAAATTGTTTAACAGTTACTGAACATATGATGTTGTATTACTATATAGCATGGGTATCTCAGTTAGTGTAGGTATATATCTAATGCATTTTGTTTTTTCTTTCCTCCCTCTGATAAACCTACTTGGTTTGACTTTTGCATGGCAATGTGCCATTTTGTCTACAAACAGTCTCCGTGACGACAAGAGAAGGGGCGCCCCCTAGTGGACAAGGTTGGTCCTACCAGTCAGACACTTGTTTCATATTTCATCATGATTCTTTGAACTTCATATTTTTGAAATGCATCCTGTTCTTTACTCATTTTAAGCTAAATTTAAAAAACAAATATGGCTGTTACAAACCTAGTTTTCTGTTCTATAAAAATAACTCCACTCTCAACTGACCTTTAGCATGAGAAAAACGTATTTTATACTCTAAATTCTATGGAAGTATCAAATATTATTTTTTCTGTGTTTCATCTGCTTTAATATTCCATGTAAAATCCCATCCGTTGTTTGAAGCCGTATTGTGCTGCTTGATGTTGCATGGATTTCAAAACAAGCCTGCTGTTCCTTCTGTATATTGTGTACAGTATCGTTGAACTGTTGTTTAGTGAAACATTCTGTGAAATGGAGAGTTGTCTCCCCTATCTTATCAGTAATTACATTCTACTGATTTAGATATTATATTCCCACAAGAGTTTTGAAACCGGTGATACTAGTATAAACTAGAACTAGCCTGAACACCAATTAAAGTTGGCTATGTTATTTTCAGTTAACAAATAATTTGTAATTTAAGTTAAAGCTACATATAGACCTTCAATAACAAAACCAAGTATTTTTTGACAATTTTTTTTTAAGCTAGTAATTTTTAGGACAAATTTGATTTACAAATTATATTTGTGAGTAAAGGATTATATTTGACTGGCTAGGTTTATAATTGACTGGCTAGGTTTGTTTTTGAGATATTGTATTGAGTCTTTGTAGCTATATGGTCTTCTGACCAATCCATGGGTAGGTGTATATTTCTTTTATGGCGTAGATAGGACATCACATGACCTTCTTCCACCAATCAAAATCACCATTTCAGCATGAGGAATAGGGACAGTAGGGGTATTTACCAATCAGCTCCGTATTCACAATGTCAACTAGGTATTGTACAGGTTGCTAAACAAGTAGGAGAAAACTTGACCAAAAGGATATATTTTGTTTATTGGAGATTTTCTGCTTACTGTTGGTCCAAGTACCATTACATTATCCAGACCCTGATGGCCCAGAAAACTTGATTTCTGAATAATTATACAAAATTGGAGTGTTCAGGAGGAACTCAATATAGTTTAGTAGTTGTAGGATTTTCCATGTCATACTATTGATATTAAATTGGGCTTATGAAAACTATTCATTAAAAAAAATGAAAAAAAAATCCCCCTTTTCTTTATCACAATTGAATTTTATAAAAGTGTGATTTGCTGTGCTTAATAATGTGGTAACATGCATGAAGATGTGTTGATATTTCACTGACCCGTGTGAGCTGCACCCTATGTGTGTATACAGTGGTACTGACCAGTGGCTGACCACTGCCTTGGACCACTCACTCTGACCTGTGTGACAAGATGGTCAATCCCTGTTGTGTGTCCTTATGCTGTATTTGTAGTTAGATAAGGTGGACATTTCATGTTGCTAACACTGAAGTTGAACAATGATCACCCTCTGTATTTCCATAAGTGATTTTAAGAAAAAAAGTACAGAAAAGATTTGATTTAAAAAAAAAAAGGGGTAAAATAAAATATCATGAAGTTTTAATGTAAAACAGCAGGAAAAGGTTGATTTAATATACTGAGTTACTACTAATAGTTTATGTTCCATCAGGAGAGGCTAATGGTCAGTAGTAGTGGTCACTTGTTGTCAGTTTAGTACATCTATAATGGTCAGTAGTAGTAGTCACTTGTTGTCAGTTTAGTACATCTCTAATGGTCAGTAGTAGTGGTCACTTGTTGATTGTGTTTTGTGATGTTAAACGTGTCCGAGTGTTACCTGCAGTAGACATGTTATCCATAGTTACTGATAGTTAGTACAGTAGACCTTCCATAGTTACTGTTGGTTAGTACAGTAGACCTTACATAGTTACTGTTGGTTAGTACAGTAGACCTTCCATAGTTACTGTTATTTAGTACAGTAGACCTTCCATAGTTACTGTTAGTTAATTAGTACAGTAGACCTTCCATAGTTACTGTTAGTTAGTACAGTAGACCTTCCATAGTTACTGTTAGTTATTACAGTAGACCTTCCATAGTTACTGTTGGCTAGTACAGTAGACCTTCCATAGTTACTGTGAGTTAGTACAGTAGACCTTCCATCGTTACTGTTGGTTAGTACAGTAGACCTTCCATAGTTACTATTAGTTAGTACAGTAGACCTTCCATAGTTACTGTTAGTTAGTACAGTAGACCTTCCATAGTTACAGTTAGTTAATTAGTACAGTAGACCTGGGGATAAGTGTTTTACTGTATGTAGCTCTGTACAACTGTAATATAATCCAGTGGGTTTTTCTTTTCGATTGTGTTCCTGAGCATACATATTGTGGTACATGAATTATTTGATTTGTTCTGTCAAGGAATGTCCTACTTTTCACACAGGTCATTGTGTTCTAAGACCATCCGACACATTCGACCAGACTCATTGTTAGATTAGAATTCGCCAGACTACGTCACATCACCTCCCCCGTCACAGCTCTACTCTCATCATCACCAGATCTCCTCCAGTACCTCATCAATTTAGTGACACATTCAAATAATCAAACTGTGATCTTATATTTGCACCATTTTTTAATGGGAACTTCTCCCTTTTCATTAGCTCTTGATTTTAAAACAAAAAAATGATGTGTTATTTGATTAAGCTAAGTTCTTTCCTCAAACTTATCTTTATTCTGTTTTCATCTAATATTTCATATAGATTTTAAAACACTTTTCTTTTTAGAATCACCCTTATTTTCCCCCTTTTTCTTTACAAAGGGTATATCATTTAAACATGAAAATGTTATTCTCTGATTTAAACACAATCCTTATAAATTTTACTTTTATGCATTGGTACTGCAGAGCAAGACTCAAAACCAATTTAAAGATATTTTACTTCTACAATATCATAATAATTATAATTATTGTTTGGTTTGACAATGAGCTGATAGATTGAGTTTTTACCTTATATTAACAGCAAATTTTCTCCTCTCATTTGGTCTCCCACATGATTGACAGAAGCATAATTTTTCATTGAAATTTTATGTAAATTTTAGTCTCAACTGAATTGACCAATGAGAACATTCTGTTTCATTTTGTGCTGTGTACAGCACTGATCCTGGAGGTGCATCGAGTAAATGAAGAGAAGCGAGAGCTTTCCCAACAGTTGCGCAACCTTCAGGAAAATTATGACATTCGTGTGCGTGACCTTGAGAATGCTGGGGAGGAGACGGAACGCCATTATGTGGCCCTCCTCGAGGACAAAAAGGCTGAAATGAACGATCTACGGCTCCAGCTAGATGCATCAGAGAAACAAAACAAAGCTCACCGCCAGTTTATGGAGGCAAGTTTGCTCTTTGTTACGGGGGTGTTTTTACACTGTATAACATGTCACCTGTCTTTTGCGGTACAAACAGAATACAAACCACATTTTAAGTTAGCCAATGTAGTTGAACTTTAATCATTTGACTGTTTATTCTGTGTTCTGATATTTACTATATCATTATAATTACAAACATTTCTTTTTTACATAATTGCACAACTAAAGTTTCTAAACAGTATTCAGTGGAAGCTTAAGGAATGAGAGCTCAGTAATGCAAGTACTTGTTTACTACATCAGGGGTCCATCCCCAGCCCATTTCTGAGTTATTCTGAAATAAAAAGATATTTCCAAATCATATTCACAGGTAATAACTATTGAGTTATTTTACCTCTAAAATTAGTGGAAGCATTTAAAGTATAATAAAGGTATAGAATCCAGTGTTACATAGGTAAAAACTACAGTCACACATCAGAGTGTTATATAGGTAAAAACTACAGTCACACATCAGAGTGATATATAGGTAAAAACTACAGTCACACAGAGTGTTTTATAGGTAAAAACTACAGTCACACATCAGAGTGTTATATAGGAAAAAACTACAGTCACACATCAAAGTGTTTTATAGGTAAAAACTACAGTCACACATCAGAGTGTTATATAGGAAAAAACTACAGTCACACATCAGTGTTATATAGGTAAAAACTACAGTCACACACCAGAGTGTTATATAGGTAAAAATTACAGTCACACATCAGTGTGTTATATAGGTAAAAACTACTGTCACACATCAGTGTTATATAGGTAAAAACTACAGTCACACATCAGAGTGTTATATAGGTAAAAA